ATGACGTCACGGGTATTCAGTGTTTGACAACGCTTCTACCAGTAACACCTTCTAATATATTTCGTTCCCACCCACAGAAATCAAAAGACAGAGTCGAGGAGATCGGAAGAGTATATTTGGCGATGACCAATATATCGGGATTCTCTGATCTAATCTGGCTAGCGATTGCGGTTGATATTGAGCACGGCGTTACCACACGTGATCTGGTGCGGATGCAAGACCGAGCGCCTTCAGCTAGATGAGTCCACTAAAACACATGGTCAGCATCCAATGTCGAAAACTTAGTGCTATTTATTTTGGGGATTTATTTACCGCTACAGATCACTCCCCCCCCTGGTGGGGCAGTGACGACCCTAAGACGTGGCCAGCCAGAAGTTTAAACCCAACGAGTTTGTCGTTGGTAAACACTCTTCTGATAGCTTACTAAGTGTAGCAGCGTCTGGTCGTCTTTCCTTACTATATGTGACCGAGGTACGACATGTTAAAAAAAGAAAAAAGGTACAACGAAAATTTCGGATCCTCATAAACGTCATCGTTCTTTTCCAGCCGTCCTGGAAAAGAAAAAAGAAAATGTAAGTGCATGTCGAAATACACTCGTATGTGCGTAAAAACACAATGTCGGCAGAAAAAAAGGAAAAAAAACTCAAGCACACGTAATGTCGTTAAAAAAATGTTTTTTTGTTTTGTTTTTTTTAAATAGAAATAAAAATATATGAGCATATTAAAATTGTTTTTTTTAAAAAAAATAATATAAAATGTCGAGAAGTGCCTTACGTGCAATAGTCGTTTAAATGTTCTGGAAATCTCACCCTTCTTCCAGAACGCGTCGTTTTAAGTTTATTTTCGGATACTGTCGAAGTATCATCGTGTGTGTTGGTTGTCGGATGAGGAATTATGAGTGTCGGAGTCGTGTCGTCCGGTTGTACCGAAGGAAAATCCACGTAGATAGGATTTCATTCTAAATACGCTGCTTTTAAGCGATCGATGCTGATGCTATGGTTGGTTCCGTTCTTGTCGACTATATAGTACTTAGATTCACGTTGAAGAACTTTGAAGGGTCCTTCGTATGCTGATTCGAATGGCCGTCGATGCGAGTCTCGACGAACGAAAACGTGTGTACTATATCGTAAGTCAGGTTGAACGAAAACATCAGTCAATTGAGGTCGAGTGGAAGCAGGTTTAACTGAACGCATTGCGTTTGCAAGCCTGTTCGTGTAAGAGGTTAGATCCATGTTCATTGAAAAGGACGAAGGATCCACGAATTCTCCTGGAAGTCGAAGTGTCGTTCCATAAACGAGTTGAGCCGCACTGTATCCAATGTCAGCTTTCACTGAATTGCGGATACCTAGTAAGACGAGTGGAAGACCGTCGGTCCACTGTGAAACGTTTGCAGCTGATAGTGAAGCTTTCAGTTGTCGGTGAAAGCGTTCTACCAACCCGTTTGCTTGTGGGTGGTAGGCGGTCGTTCGGAAGTGAGTGCTTCCTAAAAGTGTGGTCAGACGACGGAAAAGATCAGATTCAAACTGACGTCCGCGATCTGTAATGATGGTTGAAGGGCAACCGAAGTTTGCTACCCATCGTTCGACGAAGGTGCGGGCCACTGTCTCAGCAGTGATGTCCTTGATAGGTACTGCTTCTGGCCATCGAGTGAAACGGTCTACGCAGGTTAAGAGATAAGAGTATCCATTTGAATCTGGCAACGGTCTTACCAAATCCAGATGAACATGGTCGAAACGAGCATCGGGAGTTTTAAATGAGCCTAAGGGACATTTATTGTGTCTGGTAACCTTAGATTTTTGGCAGCTTACGCAGGAGCGTGCCCACTCCCTCACGTCTTTATTCATGCCAGGCCAGCAAAACCGTTCTGCTATAAGCTTGATGGTTGATCGAACACCTGGATGAGAAAGTTTGTGCAATGTATTGAAGACATTGCGTCGATAATGTTTCGACACGATTGGGCGATCCCTACCTGTAGATGTGTCACAAAGTAAGGTTTCCTTACCTGTTCCCATCTGTTTGATGCGTAGTTTAAGTGTTGTGGACGATAACTCGTGCTGAAGATCACTGTCTTCTTTTTGAAGCTCGGCGAGTTTAAGAAGGTCGATTCCTTGGAAACTGTTCAAGGAAATTATGCGAGATAAAGCGTCTGCAACTACATTGTTTGCTCCAGAGATGTGTTGAATATCTGAAGTAAACTGCGAAATGTAGTCCAGTTGTCGAGACTCACGGGGAGAGTACTTGTCAGAAGGAGAGCTTAACGAGAAAGTGAGCGGTTTATGGTCCGTGAAGAGAGTGAATTCACGGCCTTCGATGTAGTGTTGGAAATGCCGTACAGCACAATACATAGCTAAGAGTTCCCTACCGAATGTGCTGTACCTCGATTCGGTGTCTAGCAACCGTCTAGAGAAAAATGCCAAGGGTTGCCATGAGTTGTTGACCCATTGTTGTAAGACTCCTCCGATCGCCGAGTCGGATGCGTCTACTGCGATACTAATGGGGTGCTTCGGTGTCCTGATGTGCGAGCATTGTTGCTTTGGCAATCAGTTCCTTAACTGTGGAGAATGCTTTTCGTGCGTTGTCGTCCAAATTAATGGACTTCGCATTTCCACGAAGTTGGTCGGTTAGCGGTTTCATGAGTAATGCGCATTTCGGTATGAAACGTCTATAGAAACTTACGAGGCCGTTAAATGTGCGTAATTGCTTGACGGTGGTCGGTTCTGGGTAATCCAGAATGGCGGCCACTTTGGTTCTAAGGGGTCGAATACCTTGAGCATCGATAGTGTGTCCTAGGAAGTCTAACGAGTCCGTTCCGAATTGGCATTTCTGAACGTTTACAGTTATGCCATGTTTTTGTAGTCGGTCGAAAACAAGGTCCAGATGCTTGAGATGTGTTTCTCTGTCCGGACTTGCGATTAGACAGTCATCAACATACGCGTGTACGAAGTTGAGACCTCGAAAAACGTCGTCTATGAATCTTTGGAATGTTTGAGCAGCATTCCTTAGACCGAAAGGCATTCGCAAAAATTCATAGAGTCCGAAGGGATTTATGATAGCTGTTTTCGGTATGTCGTCAGTAGCCATAGGGATTTGGTTATACGCTTTAACCAAGTCGATTTTCGAAAAGACAGTTGTATGTTTCAAGGTAGCTGTCAAATCGTGAATGTGAGGCAACGGGTAACGATCGGGAATGGTTTTCGCGTTCAATCGCCGATAATCACCAGTTGGACGCCAATCGTTGCTGTCATTTTTAGGGACCATGTGCAACGGAGATGCATATGGGCTACTTGACGGTCGTGTGATTCCTAAATCTATCATGTGATCGAATTCGTTTTTCGCTAACCTTAGCTTTTCAGGAGCTAGTCGTCGTGCTTTAGAGAATACAGGTGGTCCTGTAGTCGTGATGTGATGTGTAACCTTGCTGGTTACACACGGAAATCTCGGTTGCGTTTGTTGTATTCCAGGGTACTTATCGAGTAGTGGTTGATAGAGTGGGTCTATCGTATGCTTATTTGTGACTGGAGATAATCTGCGACCTCAACAAGAAGTTACGCAAACGGACAGATTAGTGTTTCCGTCTACTAGCCTACGTTTGCGAGTGTCGATGCTCAGATTATGGTGTTGTAGAAGGTCCATACCAATGATTGGCATAGAAACATCTGCAACAACGAAAATCCAGTGGATGGGTTTGCGTAAACCCACGTTAAGGTAAACGTACATTTTGCCATACGTAGCGATCGGTTTTCCGTTTGCCGCCTGTAAGTTTATGGTCGATTCGTGAAGTCGGTCGTTAGGATTCGCTGGGAGAACGCTAACTTCTGCGCCAGTGTCGACGAGGTAGCGAACTCTCGTTGTCACATCTGTGACGAATAACAGACGGCTATGTTCGCCGGCTACGGTTGCCGTTAACGCGTGCCAGCTTGGAAGTTTCCCGAGTTGTTTTTCGAGTCAGTCGGTTTCGTGTTGGGAAAATTGCAGGGTTTTCTGCAATTTCTGGAAAGCTTTCCATACTGGTTATGATACCAGCACCAATCGGGGTTATCTGTCTCTCGTGGTCTAGAGACAGATCGCTTACGAGAAATGCTTCTACGTGGTGTGCGCGATCTCTTACGGTCGGTACGAAGACTAAGATAACGCGTGAGTGTGTTACATAAGTCGGTTATATCATTCTGAGTCGTGTGAGGCTTTTCTTTGACTGAAAATACCTCGGTAGTAGGTTTCGTAATTTCTAGAATGCGGTCGGCAGATGCAGCGGATGCATGACCGAGCTCCTTCAGCTAGATGAGTCCACTAAAACACATGGTCAGCATCCAATGTCGAAAACTTAAGGCTATTTATTTTGGGGATTTATTTACCGCTACAATATAATACTCATCGAGTGGATACGTTACGTAATAATTACATAATGACATTTAAATTAACATTAATTAATTGGAAGAAAGAGGATTATTAATATTCAAAGTGATCAAGAAGTTGCTAAGTTGCGTAATGTAAGAAACAAAGAAGGAACAGAATTTTAACGGATGGTCAATAGGATGGTAGTTACGTAAGAATCAAGAGATGAATGTTGAGAATTGAACTTAATAACTTCTCAACATTCATCTCTTGATTCTTACGTAACTACCATCCTATTGACCATCCGTTAAAATTCTGTTCCTTCTTTGTTTCTTACATTACGCAACTTAGCAACTTCTTGATCACTTTGAATATTAATAATCCTCTTTCTTCCAATTAATTAATGTTAATTTAAATGTCATTATGTAATTATTACGTAACGTATCCACTCGATGAGTATTATATTATTATTGTAAAACGTATATATATTAGTGTAGAGCCATGATGAAAAACTAATTGAAAAGAAATTTCTTCGCTCAATTCGTTCCTTCTCTATTTACCAAATTTGGTTTTGATGTTGAAACTGGTTACCTAAATATGGGAACGCCTGAAAATCATGATAGTTTGCGCTTATTTAACTAATACCGAGCAATTTTGACAATCTCCTCTGTAAAACAAGCCGTTCAAGGTCGTTGTGACGAAAAGGCGGGCGGGTGGCTCTGGAAGCACATCTGTTGTAGTAACGGTATTAACCTCCAGTTTCGAATACCAGGTTGTCTTAATACGGTCCCTGTGTTATTTCTGATTGTCGTTGGTTGTTTTATTAATAAATGTGAATGCATTCCTTGTGCATACTGAGTTTTCGGAAAAGAATATATATTCTTCTCTAGATTAACATACTGCTCTTCACACTACCCCAGCATACAAGGTACTTCTAGGTTGGATGCTAACCTAACCAATGTTAGACGTTATACCTTGCGTTCCCAGTCTCCTAAGTTTGGGGAATTTCGGGGAAACCTCCTAAGTCAAATGACCTTCACCAAAGTTTGGGGAAAACACTAAATTTAGGGGAATTTCCCCAGATCTGGAGAAGTTTTCGGGTCTTGGTGCCATGTTTTCGAAATTTCTTCAAAGTTTATTATAACAGCGTCTCCAAAACGGGCCGAATTTTCCCCGAAATTTGGAGATCGGGGTTGTACCGTTCCTTTCGGCAACACACCAGCTACATAATGGCATCAATCATTGTCATCTTGTCCAAACAGAGCTCTTGTTGTACACCAAAACATTCAGCTTTATGAAAGCATCGTGAATCGGTCAACAGACTTCCCACTCTCGAAAACGTATGCAGGTTTTATTTACTTCATATAAATAAAATATTATACATCCGTTTACGAATCCTAAACCCTTTAATTCCAAGTGTACGTCGAAAATCCACTTGATTACCCCAATTTCTAAACAACTTATCTATACATCACTTGTAAATTAATATGGGTAAACTACTACGTGCAAATTCCCGCGGCACTCTATAAACTACAAATTGGGGTTGTCTGTATCTCAGGTGTATGAGGGTTATTCAGACTGAGAACTAGCTTGTGTCAAGTACTTGAGTTGTTAAACCATAGCATAATCAATAAAAGTGTTTATTTGGTGTAGTAACTATTTATCAGACGTTAGTCGAACAAACTTCCGTTCATGAATTGAAATCACCAACAATTAATACTTTACTCACTAAGTGCTTAGATTTAATCGTGTTGTTCTAATATTACTGCACTTCATCAATGGCTTTGCTTTTAAAATTTCATTTGTAATTGATATCTTTTGGTATTTTGGAGTATCATCGTTTTTCACTCCTAGTTATTGGAAACTAAATACGCCCATACACTCCGCCACATTTTTGGTCAGGCTTTATTCTCACGGAACTGAACTTAAAAATTGAAATGTATGCGTTATTAGGTCGATCACCTTCCCTTATTTCAAAAACCATCCGATTGAGTAGAATATTCAGCACAAGTTGTAAACTGACCTCCAGTAAGTCAATATCTTTTTGAATAAAACCAGATGTGTACTATACCAAAAAACACGAGTGGATCAAGGTCAGTGGTGATGTTGGGATTGTAGGAATTTCTAAATATGCTGAACAGAAACTGGGTGATATAGTGTACGTTGAGTTACCTACTATTGGAGACAAGATCAATGTTAATGGTATTTACTGGTATTATGATAACTAAAAGTAGACCAATGTGCCGTTGTCGAATCAGTCAAAGCTGTTAGCGAAGTATACTCTCCAGTGTCAGGTACCATAATTGAAGTCAATCCAGATGTTGAAAAAAATACAAAAATAATCAATCAGTCCCCTTTAGATGAAGGTACGTTATGCGTGTTTGAATCTTCTGGTTGCATACAAACCTTTTCCGTCGATATGAAGTCGTATTTCCCAAAAGGGTCGTCAGAAAATTCTGCAGTGTAATTAGTTACTCAAAATGAGCACCATAAGCATGATCCCAAAAAATCAAATAAATAACGAGAAATGAAATTTTTTAAGTAAGATCCAAGTCCATCCATCCCACTATCATCAGTTGTGAACCACGTCACCGAGCTTTCAGTTACAGTTTTCCAAGTACTGAGCATCCCAGTCAGGTCGCCTGTATCCCTCCAACGAAAAATCTGTTGAGTTGTAGATTGATAATTGCTATCTTCATCTGTTTACCCACCTTAATACTGTTTCATCTTGCATCAAATATGAGTACTGGTTTGGAGTAGATAACATATCTAGTCAACGTCGTCTAGCCTGCTGTGATTACCCAAAACTATGCATCTGACCCCAGGATTATCGACTTATTACCCCCTCCCTATTTTAGCAACACTTCGATTTTGCATTTCCGACTACAAACTCCAGATTTCGATTATGGCGTTTGCCTCTCCCTTACTAAATATGAAAATACTGCGACAGGAAATTATTATAAAACTTACTTTGACGACAAAAATGTGAAAATTATATTTCAACAGAAACCATTCTGAGGCTTAGTGGACCTTAAAGAAGATATGGTTTGCTACAAAAAAAAACACCAGTAACAACTATGCACAACGTTCTATTTTAGGAAATAGATTTTTAATAAAACATCTCAACTAGATCCAAACACGATAATAGGCTGAAATGTCTTCGTAATGGCTACGAAAAGTGCTAGACAACATGATCCAAAGGAAGGCACAAGGACGCAGCAGTAGTAGGCACCTAATTTCGGCTCATCAAGTAGACAAGTTCAAAGGTCGACCGTCAATAAAATTGCCACCAAATAGGCAGGCTAGTGATTTATTTTTAGACCGTTCTACCAAAATAATAGATAAAATGTTCCAAGTAATAATCCAACTTTCCTCCGATTCCCCACCATCCCTCGTCCTGAATAGTGACTACCTTATTGGTAACATATCTAATTAGAATTTTGACGTGCGATCACGCTCCATTAAAGTGCTCACGTTTCATTCTCATAAGGCACGTTTAGGATTTAGTAAGCAGTGGTTTTGTTTCTTGATCCTAATCGCAGGTTGTTACTCCTGAAGCAAAACAAAATTGTTTATAGGACGTCGACTTATTTCGTTCTCCACACTAAATACGTAAATATGTTCCGGAGACGAATTTATTTATAAAAGGGATTACTTTAATTACTTCAAAACCATGACATTGATTTCCATCTCCAATTTGGTACTCTCGCTTATGTTGTGTATGTTCTTGTCACAAGGTACTAAGAAAACACAGACCCGAAAAATTGTTTTAAATCTTATTATGGCAAACCGGATCTTCGTATATACTGCATAACAGCCTATGTTGTATAGTTAGTATTATATTTTGCCTTTTATGCATGTAAATATGCATAGAGAGATTTTAGCATTGATTCTGTCATCCTTGTTTTTAAAGCTAATATTTTGTTAGGAAACACATAACTTTTAGCTTAATTTTAACAGTTGCTGTTTATTTCATTTTCCAGGCTGGCTTTTCAAGCTTCGACTTTCAGACTTATCACAAATCAAGGACCTTTTATCTGAAGAAAACTATGATGAATTTTTGACCTCTGAATCTTGATGCTGTAACATATTCTTCAGTTCGTTTCTTTAGGCATTACAAACCTCCACCGTTCTTATTTTGAACAATTAAACGTTATTTAGCGTATGATTGGGTTGCTAAGTTCTTCGAGACCACCTCAGCACATTTTAATCTTAGTTTTATATATTTTTACTTGTGAATAGCTTCTATTTATAGGACATAAACGTCTGAGTACATAATGGCAGAGTCATAATATTTGTAGGAAGAGGAAAGAATCGTACAGCCTGTAAATAAACAGACACCCATGAAATTTCATTAAAGGTAAAGTTCGGTAGAAATACAGTGTAGAAAGTTCTCCAATTAAGGAAACCCATCTCACTTTTATGAACAATGTAGCTAGAGACTACAGTGTGATTCTTGACCCGTGTATATTGTCTCAACATACTTAGTTGCAGCATCTCCAGGACCCCAACTAAGCAATCTTAATGGACCTACAGGTCTCACTCCTATTCGCCTATATTGCATATCATGACGCCATGTCATAAGCTGACCACATTTCCGCTTCCTCGATCTAGTCGCTGCGTCAGCAAGTAACGTGCGGTGTGAAAGGTATCAGAATAACATTAGGAAAAAAAACTCGAAGTCAGTGTTTCAAGACAGTGATACTGAAGGTAATATAGATGTTTAAACACACTCCCAAACCTCAGCATTTTTAGCCTTGTGTTCTCACCGTATGTAAGCAATCCCTCGTAAACAGTGTTAACCAAACTCAGAGAATCTCCCAATATTTGAAGGTCAAAAATTCCAGAATTCATGAGCACAGACAAACTTCGCTCGCCGGTGTGTTATCAAACTTTGATACCTAATCTTATATCATTACTACGCCAAAAAGGATGCAGATGGACATAAGCCACCGATCTAAGATTCACTTGTCAAGGACTTTCCAATTTGTTATTTTTTTCGAATGTAAACCCTGTTACTATCCCGATAGTCTTCCGTTGTTAGGATGAAGGTAAATGAATGTTCAAATTTTAATCCTTGGGTTGGCTTGTTAGAAGCACGTTGGATATTCAAAGCCTGGAATTCGGGACTGCCTGTCACGAATATTGTCATGACAAGATGTCTCAGTATCAGCCGCGCTAAGTTGTTTGTGAGTATACGTTTCTCTTCTTGTATGCAGCAAGTCTCTGCATTGGGTTGCAAGGTGACAACTATCTTCGTTTTTTTGTGCGGCTAACGTTTGCTGCCTGGTTGTACTTCGTTCTCTAGTAAGAAATCAGAATAAAGTTCAAAAGACTAGTAATTATTATCACTGATTACAATAAAAAACTACAATTTAACTGTGGCGTAGGTTCCCTTCAGTTTATGTCTAACTCTCCTTGAAATGTACATTTACACACCCCTTTAATATGTATTGTAGTTAGGCCCAAAATATATATACAATTCACGAACAGTACAATTCAAGAAATAATTGGAAAACTAGTTGCACAATAGTAATTGGCAACGAAGCACCATATCTACATTTAGCGGTAATTGAAATAAATAATCCTTCTAGATAATACCTTTCGCCGCAGACTAATTTCACTTGAAGAACCGTTAGTTACACGGTGGACCATCCTGGAAAATTCTTATTGGACGGTCGTGGCCTGCGAAATCAACTGAGTCGAGAGTCAGAAACTTACTAACTAATCACAGTTGGATACATTATTTTGTCGCAACATCCATGAAGTGCCTGTAACTGTTATGAGAGTATGATCGTCTACTGTTAGATAGACCAGACTTATATCTTTATCACCTAGGGCTCATTATTAGGGTCCGAGTCGAACAAGTAACCTGTATTCAGATCTACTTGGTCGTTAAATTTCTGGAGGTATTATTTATTTGAACACATAAATATTGGTACAAAGGAGAACCAGATACGTACGCGCCACAATAATAATGAGAATGTGAAGAGATAAGGTGCGTATATGAAGAAGGGGAACAGAGATTAGTGTATGACTGAAATAAATAATAACGGGAGCGGCAGTTCAACAAGCAAAAGTACAGTCGGAGGGGATTCTTCCAGTTGAAGAGGTCACGTCCTTCCTTATGAAGTAAAGTTACAGCAGAAGCGCCACTGGCTTCTATCCTGAGCCATATCTGATAGTCTCCGGCCACTGTGTTGCACCATGTCTAGGACCCCGACCAGGGAGTCACGAAGGACCGACAGGAGCCAGCCCTGTACAGCTTTCATATCACGACACCATATACACTGACCACCAGTGTTGGCGAATAATACACGAGGTGGAATTCTCTGGGGAGACATTCGTAGGACATGTCCAAGTCACCGAAGTCGGTGTTCCAAGATGGTGACACAAATTGAATTATCGTCGCTGTGCCTGGACACACGATGCTACTGGATGTCAGCAATCCTGCGGAGACAACGATGATCAACCACAGAGTCGTCTAACATCCTAAACTCGGAGAGGCCAGGTTTCACAAGCATAGAACGAAACTGCTCTCACTGACGCGTTGTAGATCTGATGTTTTACAGTCAGGCTAACATCACGTTTACTAGGATAGAGTGGACGTTATGTATGTAACTAAGGTCATGCACATTATTCATATCCGGTCTCCTATTTTTGTCTTATTGGTCGTATTCCATATTTCCGCTCATGGTGAGTCACTGACAGTTCATCTGACTATAACTAAGAGTAATGCGTCTCTATTAATCGCAGGTATTCTAAGTCCAAAGTGACAACCCTTGTCGTATATAAGCTATCCACCACGTTACTAAATTGGATAGTTTAGAGCGCAATTAAGCTTCTCGAAATATATTGACCTTAATTTACGCAAAACGTAGTAACGAGAAATCTTTAACCTTTGGGTTGACCAGCACAAGTAATTAGACTTTACTATTATGACCACACGAACGTTTATTTCCTTGTCAATCTTAATATTTTCTCTATGTAATTAGTTATATTGCACTCAGCGAATTGTTAGCTTTTGGTTATTTCTTTTCTGTCTCCGTTACCGGTGGTGATCCCATATTTTGTATAATACATACTAGCTTCTAAACAAGTATGGCAAAGGATGAAGCATTACTATAAGTCTACCAAACTGCCTTAGTTGGCTCGAATCAAGATGCTTCGTCATAGCCGACTGATTAACAATATTTAGTTAATAGTAATAGATCACAATGTGAAGTTATCGGTCTACAAAAAGATATGAACAGATAGACGGACGACACAATTACAAATTTTCACAGTAACGTAAATGGATATCTAGTCCCTCGCATTAATGATATCCAATGAAGCTTACCAGTGTTTGATTTCCTTATTGTTTTTCAAGTGCACTGAACCTAAGCGGATTTATTAGAATAAGTACCTTATTCGTTCAGTAATGTCAAACACATTTTCGAAATGTCTAAACTCGATTACTATATAATTATTTGTAAACATACCAGGAAAATATTCATTTGATTTAAATATTGAAGCCTATTGATCTGTCAGGATATGTACTTCTCTGTCGTGAAATTAAATGGGGAGAAATACATAGTTGACCTCCTACCTGCTTAGATCATTTCCATCCTTATAATCATACTCATCTCCGAAAACGTGCAGCTTGAGTGTTTTCGTAATTCTTTTCCACTAGACATTCGATTAACAGCCAGAAAATCATGTCACCACGTTTTTTTCCCTTTGTTGTAATCTGCCCCGTTGCAACCATTGTTTACAACCATTGCTTAAATAGTTGTGAGGACCCCAAAAACGTAATCTCCACATACGATACGGCTCATTCTGACGATCAGTAACTACATGACATGATTTCCAAGTCTCAGTCTGACGACTCATAGCTTTCTTCCAACTTGTTTCAACTAAAAACACGTCGATAAGTGGGTTTTTGAGTATAAGCGGTCCATGTAAAATTAGGTTAATCGATGAACATTGAGAATCTTGAATTAACTTATCATCTTTGCTTGGAGATATGTGTATAAACCTAAGTGTTGTTTACTCTGTTACCCTGAAATGTCTGACTTAAGTGGTGGTGTCAAGGCAGTAGCCTTCACATGATCTATGTTGTCTCTTTTAGTAAGCCTTTTAATTACAAAACGTACCACAAACTTTCATATTTATATCACTGTAGAGAAAATGCTGGTTGCAGTTAGAATGTCAATACAATGTATGGCTAAAGTTATAATCTGATATTCGGGTATTAGTTGTCATGAATATATTTTCCAGAGCTGTACCGATAACAAAATCTTAGAGCATTCGGAAAAGCCGCAAACTTGTTTAAATTCAAACTTCCATACATCTCATCACTAAATAAAAATCATCAGAATATTCAAACAGTTAAAGAGATAACAAGAATTTAGACAATAAACGCTTATAATCACTTCTGATTATTTACTGTGTAAGTATATCGAACAATACGTGTGTCCAGGATTTTTCTTCAGATCAATGACAGATGATATATGAGTTCAAGTTAAAGAAATGTTAACTGCGAAATATATCAACTGGATGGTGGATAAGGACTAAAATGCACAAAGCAGTTTTCACCTAACTATCAAAAATGTTCGAATGAATGTTCTAGAATCAAATCCTGCAAGTAGATTGCCATAAAATTACTCACAGATTTTAAATTGTACGGAAACTCAACTTGTGAAATGTCAAGAAATGTGAAATCGTTTGATAAAACAGATTTTTTGTCTTAAACCCTCAAGTAGCTCATGGTCTATTTCCAAACCCTTGAAATTAAAGCATTTTTTGATTGCTCTTTCCACAATAGCCGTTGATTTTTAATCCAGATAAATATCGTCTGTAACCTCTACGAATTCTAAAACTTTCTTAGAGAGCATGGCACGGTTCGTTCATCCTATTACTTTACAACATATAATTTTTGATCCAATAAATTCCTCAAATTTCGGCAGACGTCTAAAAACAATTAAGTTGCAAATACTAAAATCCACCTATCCCTTTGCTGTTTCTCAAGACAAACATATATTATGCATTATACATGAGTAAAAAACGAGTACAAACTTTTTGATATCTTAGCAAATTTCTAAGATTGTTGTAACAGTTTTGTATCATAAAAAGTAATTTTACTGTAATTTCACATCATTCTAATACGCTAGTTACACCTTTTGCAAAAGACGTATTGATGAATATTGAGTAGATCAAGGTGACGATACATTTGGAAAAAAAACAGCCTTTTTGATTTCTGTAAAGTAGTTCAAGTAAGGGTTTTATTTAGCTATTGAATAAATAGCCGAAAATAATTTCACTTCTGCAAACATTCATATGGTTTCGACAAAAATCGATTAGAGAGTCCAGCTAAAAGGTACTTTAAGTTCCAGCGTGTGAGGAAGTAGTACTTAGTTTGTGCGATTCAATGATTTACAATTCCTAAAATATTAGGAAAAAAGATAAATTTGAAAGCTGAATTAAGCCATCAGAGTTCAAAATACTGTATCGTTTACTGAATAGGTTCAGACATTTGATTTTGATCGTATAAAGTTTAACCACGTTTGTTTCGTAAAAAATCCTTACTCGATTTAACTAAAATTTTGTAAATGTTTGTGGTCAACTAAATTCTACAATAAGTCCCTATTTATAATTTTCTAGTCACTAATACTTTGTAAAGGTTCAGATTTTATATTTTATGCTGTTTAGCTTAAAATCTCAGTTGATTCATTTATTGTAACCGTCCATGTCCTTGAAAGATCTTTTTCGTGTTTTAACATCTTAAGTAAATATATTTCTATGAAGTCGCAACGAAAATATTTTGAAGTATAAGACTTCATGCTTTTACATCGACCAAAATCAACAGGTTGTATTGATTATCCTTACCTTTCTTATTAATAAAAACAGCCCATATTCACAGACTCGGTAGAGTAAATATGCATCCAGTAAAACAAATAACTGAATAATAATGTTACTGTCTACTCAATAATGAATCGATTACGTTTTTCTTTGAAGGTGAGCAGCAATAAGTCGTGATAGACGAACTAAGTAAGTAAAGGTTTAAATGACAACAAAAAGTAATTTTCCAAAATAATCATGACTAATCTTGGCTGAACATTTCAAAGTATGATTCAACTCGTAACTTAATTGATTTAAATGTTTCAAAAGCCATCATTTAATATACACATAAAGTGATGCATCTTAGTTCCAAATTCCCAAATAAATTATCATTTGACAATGGATCCTCTACCGTTTGTCTTTTCTTCTGTTGCACTCTAGTAAATGCGTACAGACAGATAATTAGTGTGACTATATATTACAAATTGAAAGACATTGTTTGATGTTTGATGACCAGAAATATTCATCTATTAATCAAGGGCATTAAGGATTATTAATGTATACGTTTTCCTTCCCTAACTCAAACAAGAATTATGCTAGAGGAAAATGAAAGAAGCTTGAGGAAACAGTTCTATAAACTTCAAAATTATTCCACCTGAAAAAGATGCTCAAATGTCGTTTAAAATGGGAAAAATAAAGTAAAATCTTCGTTTTTTTAATGAAAAGACTGACTTTAGACTATTAGAAATAGAGAAAAGTATAACAACATAAACAATCCTGATGATAATTTAAGCGATCTTCATGAAATAACCATGCTAAACAGGTCTGAACTTTTTATTGTTTCTTACGCCTAAATATGTTGAAGCTGCTTAACATGTCTAAATGCATGATTTACAGAACCTTGTAAAATCAGTTTCATAAAGTATTTTACAAAGTAACTTGTTAAGTGAAAAAAAACTGGTTGCCACTTTCAAAAATAAAAATATTCTTAGCAAACATAGAGATAAGCCCAATACTTTCGAAATGTTCTCAGCTGTTATTTGAAGTTCTGCATTGACTTTTGTGAAGACAGCACACGAACCGAGTGCATGTGCATCAGCCACTGTAGATACAACAACACGTGGTCTAGCTGGGACCAGTGAACGCGAGAAAACACCAATCCTTTCATTAACATCTGAAGAAAGTAAAACTTATTGGACGCAACGTACCTGATTTTTCATACTTAAGACTAATAAACAAAGCTTTCATACCTTCGGGATTGAAGAAAGATTTTATTAAATATACCTAATTGTAAGAACACCAATGAAGTTACTTGTTCACCATCCAGTATACATTCCAAAACATAGCTCTTATCAATCTTAAAGTGCAGAGAAATTTTTTCAAAGAGAAAGTAGAATCTACTGTCGACCAAAGATTTTCTGAGTTCACGATCCAAACATTTCATTTCCTAGATATATCATGTAAATACATGACCGACATAAGCTTACAGGTTTATCTTGCGCAGAATCAATAACATTGGATGCATTGTCTCGGACTTCTTTATGTCCACGACTTTCGTGTAACATATGAATCGGAAGAATACAAATCACACTATTTTGCAAATTTAAATTTGTAAACGTTTTCGTCTCTAGTTCAATTGAATTTTTGAATCATAAAAACAATTTACTTCAATATCAAAAATCTGAAAACCAATACCTTGTTAAATATAAAGAACAAGGCTCGAATAGCCTGACAGGTCATTCAAACTTAGCAGGGAAACAGTGATCCATACAGTAAATACAGTGAAATACCACATATCGTCAATGTTGTGAGGTGTTGAAAATGTAGTAACATCTATGTTCATTTTCATGTTACAAATGTAAACACTTCTTTGTTTTTTCGATCCAACATCGTCTTTGAAGACACCCTTGTGAATACTTTCATGCTTAAAGAGTCTTTTGTTAACATCAATCGTCTTATTTGTATTATCATTTATAATCAACAGCCATAGGTTTTTGAGACACTTAAATATCATTTGTTCTAATGTATACTACAATCTCACCGTTTTTGTTTGCCCATAAGCCAAGCAACTCAAGACTGGCTAGTAAAATGACGACACAGCAACACGCCTATTCACACAAAACGTCAGTGAAGGCAGTCGAGCGAAAATTCAGACCTCTACGGGCGGTATGGCTACAAAGATGTCAAAAGTATTCGGAATTTGACAACATCTTTATCAGTTACACCTTTATGATATAACTAAACCGACACAGTCAAATCCGAAGTCGGAAATGAAGGGGTCTGAAAACGTATTTAGAGGACTATTGATATGTTGAAAATCATTTGGTACAAGCTGGTTAACAGTTGTTAAGGGTGCATAGATTGGTGTGCCCACACACGAACTGGTATGGATGAGTGATAGAGCGCCTGCAGCTAGGTGTGTCTAGTATAACTAATGAGGTCAGCTTAAATGTCATTGGTTTTAAGGATTTATTAACCGCTACAAATCAAATTGGTTCCTGTTTTTGCCTTACATATCAAAAGTCTGAGTGCCGAAATTTGAATATTAAAAAGTTACGCTGACTTTACTCAGAGTTTTGAACACGCTACACTTTATCCATCATTTCGTTTTTTATTTTGAGCCTAAAGATAATATTTTATTTCCTAAGATTTATTGATTCGACTGCAGGATTTAATTCTTCGTTTAAGTGGACGGATGTGAAAACAGAATTTGTAAGCGCAGGGTCAGTTTTGCGTGAACGTGCACTAACGCCCATAGTATATTGAGATCTTACGACATGACAGGTCTAACTAAAATAAAAATACGGTTTCAACTAAAATCCAATACGCAAACAGTGTGAGGCAATTTCCTACAGGTTTGATGATGTCACAGGTATTCAGTGTTTGACAACGCTTCTACCAGTAACACCTAATATATTTCGTTCCCGCTCAGAGAAGTCAAAAGACAGAGTCGAGGAGATCGGAAGAGTATATTTGGCGATGACCAATATATCGGAATTCTCTGATCTAATCTGGCTAGCGATTGTGGTTGATGTTGAGCACAGCGTTACCACACGTGATCTCGTGTGGATGCAAGACCGAGCGCCTTCAGCTAGATGAGTCCACTAAAACATATGGTCAGCATCCAATGTCGAAAACTTAGTGCTATTTATTTTGGGGATTTATTTACCGCTACAGATCGCTCCCCCCCTAGTGAGGCAGTGACGACCCTAAGACGTGGCCAGCCAGAAGTTTAAACCCAACGAGTTTGTCGTTGGTAAACACTCTTCTGATAGCTTACTAAGTGTAGCAGCGTCTGGTCGTCTTTCCTTACTATATGAGACCGAGGTACAACATAGTAAAAAAAGAAAAAGTTACAACGAAAAATTTCGATTCCTCGTAAACTGCATCGTTCTTTTCCAGTCGTCCTGGAAAAGAAAAAAGAAAGTGTAAGTGCATGTCGAAATACACTCGCATGTGCGTAAAAACACAATGTCGGCGAACAAATGGAAAATATACTCAAGCACACGTAATGTCGTTAAAAAAATGTTTTTTTCTGTTTGTTTTTTTAGTAAAAAAATACAAATATATAAACATATTAAAATTCTTTTTTAAAAAAATTATATATCGTAAAAAGAAAGATGGAGATAATGAGAAATGTCGATTAGTGCTTTACGTGAAGTAGTCGTTTAAATGTTCTGGAAATCTCACCCTTCTTCCAGAACGCGTCGTTTTAAGTTTATTTTCGGATACTGTCGAAGTATCATCGTGTGTGTTGGTTGTCGGATGAGGTATTATAAGTGTCGGAGTCGTGTCGTCCGGTTGTACCGAAGGAAAATCCACGTAGATAGGATTTCATTCTAAATACGCTGCTTTTAAGCGATCGATGCTGATGCTATGGTTGGTTCCGTTCTTGTCGACTATATAGTACTTAGATTCACGTTGAAGAACTTTGAAGGGTCCTTCGTATGCTGATTCGAATGGTCGTCGATGCGAGTCTCGACGAACGAAAACGTGTGTACTATATCGTAAGTCAGGTTGAACGAAAACATCAGTCAATTGAGGTCGAGTGGAAGCAGGTTTAACTGAACGCATTGCGTTTGCAAGCCTGGTCGTGTAAGAGGTTAGATCCATGTTCATTGAAAAGGACGAAGGATCCACGAATTCTCCTGGAAGTCGAAGTGTCGTTCCATAAACGAGTTGAGACGCACTGTATCCAATGTCAGCTTTGATGCGTAGTTTAAGTGTTGTGGACGATAACTCGTGCTGAAGATCACTGTCTTCTTTTTGAAGCTCGGCGAGTTTAAGAAGGTCGATTCCTTGGAAACTGTTCAAGGAAGTTATGCGAGATAAAGCGTCTGCAACTACATTGTTTGCTCCAGAGATGTGTTGAATGTCTGAAGCAAACTGCGAAATGTAGTCCAGTTGTCGAGACTCACGGGGAGAGTACTTGTCAGAAGGAGAGCTTAACGAGAAAGTGAGCGGTTTATGGTCCGTGAAAAGAGTGAATTCACGACCTTCGATGTAGTGTTGGAAATGCCGTACAGCACAATACATAGCTAGGAGTTCCCTACCGAATGTGCTGTACCTCGATTCGGTGTCTAGCAACCGTCTAGAGAAAAATGCTAAGGGTTGCCATGAATTGTTGACCCATTGTTGTAGGACTGCTCCGATTGCCGAGTCGGATGCGTCTACTGCAATACTAATGGGTGCTTCGGTGTCCTGATGTGCGAGCATTGTTGCTTTAGCAATCATTTCTTTAACTGTGGAGAATGCTTTTCGTGTGGTGTCGTCCAAATTAATGGATTTCGCATTTCCACGAAGTTGGTCGGTCAGAGGTTTCATGAGTAATGCGCATTTCGGTATGAAACGTCTATAGAAACTTACCAGGCCGTTAAACGTGCGTAATTGCTTGACGGTGATCGGTTCTGGGTAATCCAGAATGGCGGCCACTTTGGTTCTAAGGGGTCGGATACCTTGAGCATCGATAGTGTGTCCTAGGAAGTCTAATGAGTCGGTTCTGATTTGGCATTTCTGAACGTTTACAGTTATGCCATGTTTTTGTAGTCGTTCGAAAACAATATCCAGATGCTTGAGATGTGTTTCTCTGTCCGGACTTGCGATTAGACAGTCGTCAACATACGCGTGTACGAAGTTGAGACCTCGAAAAACGTCATCTATGAATCTTTGGAATGTTTGAGCAGCATTCCTTAGACCGAAAGGCATTCGCAAAAATTCATAGAGTCTGAAAGGAGTTATGATAGCTGTTTTCGTATGTCGTCAGTAGCCATAGGGATTTGGTTATACGCTTTAACCAAGTCGATTTTCGAAAAGACAGTTGTACCTTTCAAGGTAGCTGTCAAATCGTGAATGTGAGGCAACGGGTAACGATCGGGAATGGTTTTCGCATTCAATCGCCGATAGTCACCAGTTGGACGCCAATCGTTGCTGTCCTTTTTAGGGACCATGTGCAACGGAGATGCATATGGGCTACTTGACGGTCGTATGATTCCTAAGTCCATCATCTGATCGAATTCGTTTTTCGCTAACCTTAGCTTTTCAGGAGCTAGTCGTCGTGCTTTAGAGAATACAGGTGGTCCTGTAGTCGTGATGTGATGTGTAGCCTTGCTGGTTACACACGGTAGTTTCGGTTGAGTTTGTTGTATCCCAGGGTACTTATCGAGTAGTGGTTGATAGAGTGGGTCTATCATATGTTTAACTGTGACTGGGGATACTCTACAATCAGTGAAAGAAGTTACGCAAACGGACAAATTAGTGTTTCCGTCTACTAGCCTCCGTTTGCACGTGTCGATGATCAGATTGTGGTGTTGTAGAAGGTCCATACCAATGATTGGCATAGAAACATCTGCAACAACGAAAATCCAGTGGATGGGTTTGCGTAAACCCACGTTAAGGTAAACGTACCTTTTGCCATACGTAGCGATCGGTTTTCCGTTTGCCGCCTGTAAGTTTAGAGCCGAATCTTGAAGCCGATCGTTCGGATTCGCTGGGAGAACGCTAACTTCTGCGCCAGTGTCGACGAGGTAGCGAACTCTCGTTGTCACATCTGTGACGTATAACAGACGGCTATGTTCGCCGGCTACGGTTGCCGTTAACGCGTGCCGGCTTGGAATTTTCCCGAGTTGTTTTTCGAGTCAGTCGGTTTCGTGTTGGGAAAATTGCAGGGTTTTCTGCAATTTCTGGAAAGCTTTCCATACTGGTTATGATACCAGCACCAGTCGGGGTTATCTGTCTCTCGTGGTCTAGAGACAGATCGCTTATGAGAAATGCTTCTACGTGGTGTGCGCGATCTCTTACGGTCGGTACGAAGACTAAGATAACGCGTGAGTGTGTGACATAAGTCGGTTATATCATTCTGAGTCGTGTGAGGCTTTTCTTTGACTGAAAATACCTCGGTATTAGATTTCGTAATTTCTAAAATGCGGGCGGCAGATGAAGCTAGCTCGTCTAAGGCGTTGTTCTGGAACGAGACCAGAACTGCTTGCACCTGTTGGGGAAGTTTTGACAAGAAGAGTTGTTTGAATAGACCTTCGTCGAAAGTTCTTGGGCCTATTACCTCTCTCATCCGTTGCAACATGTCCGTCGCAGAACCGTGTTGCAGGTCGATGTTATTGAAGAGTTGATCTAACCTTTGTCGATCGGTTAGGTCTCCTCGTTTAAGAATCGAGCGTTTTAAGATTTCGTAAGGATCGGAAACATCACTAGTAAACATACTAGGTGTTACGTATCTGTTGAATTCGCGCGGTAGTCCCTTGACTACTGCGAGGAATTGTGCACGTGTGTCGATCACGCCGTGCTCTGAGAAGTCGGCTTCTGCGTAGCAAAACCAGGCTTCGATGTTGTCGGGCCAGAAAGGCATCAGTTGAAACGAAGGCGGGGACAAAGTCTTAAGCTTGAGTACTTTAGGTGTCTGTTCAGTCATGATGAAGTATGAAGTACGATAATGAACGAGGGGAAAATATATATATATCCAAGAAAAATTACGAAAAAAAAATCACAATGTTTAAAAGAACAAAAACAATAAGGCAATGATATATAAAAATCCCAAAAAGGAACAGACTCACAGTTGCAATTACGTGTACCAGATCACGTCGGTCTCACCAATGATGATGTCACAGGTATTCAGTGTTTGACAACGCTTCTACCAGTAACACCTTCTAATATATTTCGTTCCCGCCCAGAGAAATCAAAAGACAGAGTCGGGGAGATCGGAAGAGTATATTTGGCGATGACCAATATATCGGAATTCTCTGATCTAATCTGGCTAGCGATTGTGGTTGATGTTGAGCACAGCGTTACCACACGTGATCTGGTGTGGATGCAAGACCGAGCGCCTTCAGCTAGATGAGTCCACTAAAACATATGGTCAGCATCCAATGTTGAAAACTTAGGGCTATTTATTTTGGGGATATATTTACCGCTACAGGTTTAATTCCGAGCTATTCTCTAGACTGTCGAATACAGAGTCTTGGTTTAGCCAAAGTCAGAACAAGTAATCTATTTGGTTTGATAAACTTTATCTGTTTCTAAAACATAAATTAACACCGTTAGTATGCAAAATAAACAGTACAGTCTATTAACACAGGGGAAAACAGAGACATAAATAACATACCGAACAGTAACTAGAGAATGGGAAAAATGAGTCAACAAGGCAAATATTGTTTTATAATGTACATAAAATTGTGACCGGTGAATGAACAAGACATAGTCATACAAGGTCGAAGAAAGTTAATGTGGTGGTGGGCGTTTCATTTTATCATTGGTGAGTTCGTTTATTGATCACGATTTGCAAAACTTTAAGCTTTTATTGATTTCATTCCACTTACGAGTTGGTTTATTCGAATACTAGGGCTGGTTGTTAGGACCGTCAAAATTAGTGTGGTTGCACGTAATAGAAATGGAGAAGTGACTCACTGATTCCATATTTTATCTCCTAAACAGATATGAATATCAGGATGTTACCTTCACTAAATATAATGGTCTACATTTTTTTAATCTGACCATAACACTACTCAATTAAAGAAACTTCAAATTAACTTATTCGGGTGATAATAAACAGGACTTCGACTTCAAAACTGATATTCATTTTGCTACCCTCAAAATTGTTTTTTTTTACCGTAGGACTTAGGTGATCGGTCTATTTGACACTTAATTAATGTTCCCTTTCGCTTTGTGTTGTTTCATTGGTAAGGGTCGGTCTCAGCTTAGCTGTACTTCGTGAGATTCATCTGCTTGTAAACTATCCTTCAGTGGTGCATGCTATTTATATCGACGGATAAAAATTGGTTGGCTGTGGTGTTTGAATGAACTAATGATTCCTTTGTACTTGTTGAAAGCTTGTTTTCGAATTCTAAATACAGTACATTCGTTTGTGTTTATCTACTACTTCTTGATCCGATTACGTTAATTCGGAGATTCTTAGTTCATACTATAATTCAAATACTTCTGATTATCACGTTGGCGTCGCGATTTAGCCTGTGATGGAACTGCTGGACACGCATTCAGATTCTGATGCTTTCAAGGACTGCTTTGAAGGGTTCGAAATCTGAGCTGTGACCAAAGAAGATGATGCGGATGCTAGCACATTTCCTCAAATTCATCGGAAAAGAAGGATATAGCTTATTAAAAACTTTGGCTATGTCGGAAAAGCCCATTTCGCTTTCTTATACAACTCTCAATGATCTACTGCTAGACTATGTTAAGTATACAAATTTCGAATGTGGTAAAGGAGGAAGATTCCGTAAAATGGTTCATGAGGATGTGAAAAATTCCACTGCATTACGTCATCCCGACCCAGTGCACACTCAAGGCTATGCAGATAATTCATTGAGGAGTTGCGATGCACTTCACGAATATGGGCATAAGTTTGGTCAGTACTTGTCCTGCGGCAGGTTCCACTTTTTTAGTTCATGTTAAGTTCGTAATTCTAAGTGCTTTATATGTGGTGTCTGTTTGTAATACTACTATTCATCTTGCTGCAACTAATATTAAGTCTTGTAATCCTGGTTCTATTAAGTCCAGTATTTATAATGATCATTTATCTTTATCACCGATTTCAAAAGACAGTATAGAATCATATAGCAGTTCATAGTTAAGTGAAACTCGCAATTCTTGTGAGACAACCGTTTCTCATCAATCATCAAATTCCAAATGTTACTGTACCAAATATGGTTTTTCCTAATGATTTACTTATTTCTGACGAAACCCCATGCAAATCTGAGGAAAATATGTTGAATGAATCTAATCATGATCGAAAAACTGATGCAGTCTTGATGGATGCTGATTTTTCTAATGATCCTTTACTCTGCAATGACGTTCTTAATAAAATCGAGGGAACTACTTCAGAATATTCAAGTCTTGATGTCATACCAAATATTTTTTGTCTTCATAATGCATTTGTTTCATGTGGAATACTTGTTCATTGCGGAGCACAAGTGCTAAATGACCTCGACTACAATTCGGATGATCTCATATCAACTGCTGTTTATCCTTATCACAAAAACACTGCTAATGTTTACTCCAGTCAATGTGAGAAATATGTTCTAAATGAAGCCACATCATTCATAAATTGGGGATATAAAGACCCAACATTATTTCGTCGGGGAGGATAGTGTTGGGAAATATGTGCTCTGAATTCTAGATAGTGGTTTCGGTAGACAACCGATTGTATGCAATCCCAGGAACCAAGTGAGTCTGTTTCGATCTCGGTGGTTAATTCCAATACTAATAAGCACATTCTAGATAATACAGTCTTTGTCCAATACACTGTCGGATAGACACAGGATGAACTAAAGACATTTAAACTCCTAATTAAGCTGTGGCGGATGTGATGTTTGAGTGAACTAATGATTCCTTTGTACTTGTTGAAAGCTTGTTTTCGAATCCTAAATACAGTACATTCGTTTGTGGTTATCTACTACTTCTTGATCCAATTACGTTATTTCTGGGATTCTTAGTTCATACTATAATTCAAATACTTCTAATTATTATATTGGCCTCACTCGACTTCTCGTTGACAACCCTTGGTGTCGCAGCCAACCAGGAGGCGGTAGTTGGGGTCATCCGTTTCGGGGTGGTTTCATCGCTTGGAGTGTTGTGGCGGTGTCGGATGTACCGGTCGTTGTCGACGGAGTTTGGCGGCCGCCAACCAAATTCTGGGTTTAGACGGCTCAGCAGTTCGCTGGAGCACATGTGTTGATGTTCCCTATGGATATTAGACGTGGATGTCTCGGAAGTTTAACATCGCTGCAGAGGTCAGCACGCCGTGAACCCAATATTCCGACGACACAGACTGTGACGAAGTGGCAAGGAGAGTAGGACTGAGCAACGACCTTGAGCCGTCTTAGCTAGTCAAAAAAGACTAGTTCGAAACATGTCATCTAGTTAAGTTATACAAAGCCTACATAGTTAGTCAACTCAGTTAGACTGGCTTATATTTTTAACGGATGCCTGGAAGTTATGGTCGAAATCTGCAGTTAGATTGTATAAATAATAACTCCTACCCTGAACTCCAACTTCACCATCTAAACCGGAAATTCTAGTTTGGACTTAATTATAACACTAAAACGAATCGTATCCCCAATGTGACAAGCATTGCTAGGAAATATAACTTAAACTTGTGATTGAAACTGCCTCAGAATGATTGTGTGTGCGCATTGATGAATAAATACTTGTCTTCAGTAGTCTGAAGCCCTGAGATTGCAAAGTGTTCCTTCGAAATAACTTCCTCGATCCTGATTGGTTTAGCAGTAAACCTATGTCAGCCGGTTCGTACTTTACTGCTGTTGATATTCATGATTGCATTCGATCATCGGATAAGCGGCCTTGATCGAATAAAAAAATTATGTCAGTAGATACAATATTCACGTGATTCGACAAACCAGTTTGTGATAAAGTGCAAATTACATTGCGTATAGTGCCTGACATCTCTTAATGGCCTAATAAAACTATGAGTGAAATGAAAAAGTTCAATTAACGTCTGCATCATATATATATATATATATATATTTTAAAAATTTATCATACACAGGTAGTGGTAATTATCAGCTGGCTAACGATGTTGTGATATTTTCTTAATGCACGGTGCTTCCAGAACGACTGAATCTGAATTGATCTAATAGTTTTGCTTGGTGCTCTGAGCTAACAGGGTAATAATTAGCCAACCGGAGACTCAATTCAGCTCGTCCTGACGAAAGACGTCTGATAGTAGCGGAGTAGTTAGCTAATTCAGATAACGGTGCTATTGCACGTATACGGTGATATTTTTCAGCTCCCATTCTGCTATCGTCTTTACTGTTTGCACTGGTTTCTGCGTTGTCCACTGATATTATTTCTGCGCGCCTATTCGTTAAGTCACATAGAAAGGCTGATAATTCTGAATCATAACCTATATTGGTTTGAAAACAGAATGAGACAAGAACCACGAAAAATACTTTTATAATTAAATCTGTGGTGCTTGAGTCATAATTAAATTTTCACTGCGTGAAAGCAGCCTCATAGTACTACTAATATGACTTATGTTCAGAGAACACATTATAGGGATCAGTTAAAACAAATGAAGTTTCATCTGAGAAGCACGGCGAACGGCAACTAAAGCTACGGCTAACCTCGTATCACAACTCCTGGGGTTCTTGGCGCTGTCATACTACCTGCCGTCAAACTAGACTAACGATAAGGTTATGTTTTCAGCTCGTCAGTGTACATGAATAGTGACAGTAAGAAACACATCTATTCATTACGTTACTAGTAAAATTTCGACGAAATTGCGTTTTACTGAACAATATGGTCACGAATATATTAAAAAATGCTCTTCAATATTCACGTGAATATTGGTGAATTAAATTGCGAACTATACTTATCACGTAGCCATATTACCACGTACTTATCAATGTTCTTCAACATACACATCAAATTATTAAGACCTCTGGGAAGGGATCATAAGTTCTCGCTGAGTGTACCTAAAGCAAATGAAAAAGAAGTTCGGTGGCACATAGACAAACTTCGTTAATTAAAATGACTACAAACTCTCAGCTGTCCTGTACAAACAGGTGTTTCGTATGAAAGATTTTCTGTCATTCTAAACATTATTAGGTCATGTTTAATCTAACAGTTAGATTCTGGATTATTCCACAAGAATTGCATCAGTTAGATCGGATGATTTTTCTCCAAGATGGTTTTTTGGCAATCTATTATCATTTTGTGTTTTTGTGTTCCCGTTGATAATTTTGTGCAGTTGACCTCCAACTATATATGTGACTGACCCTTTCTGCAAAGATTGGCAGATTGGATTTATATCGATGTGTGTGTTGGTTGGAGATTAGACTCAATCTCATGCTTTGCGAAATTAAAAGTTCCTTCACCCAATCCAGCTATCACGTTTGTATGCATTGATGTAAGCGAAAACATATAGTGTATTTCCCTGCTAATTTATGTTTAGCAATATGCAGATGAAGAGGGTATCTTATCTGTCTGTAGTGCGTACTGTAGTTGATACGATTTGCTTTGCAGAAAATGTTGCATTTTCCTCCTTCACTTTCATCCTTCAGTCTTCACAAAGTGAAATAGCGAAAAGTTCAGTGGCCTACCAAACGAAGTTGTCAACCAGAACATAAAGACACATCAAGATGACAAAACTTGATAAGACAACCAGTTGAAATCAAGGTCATCAGATTTAATTGATAAAATGCTTACTGCACAATTAGAAAATTATTATATACATAAAGTCAGCCTCCACGATGTTATTCATAGAGACAATGAAAGCTTCGGAATCAAACTACACAAATTACAGGGCAAAAAACTGCCAAATGAACCAACTTGAACAAGAGTATCTCTTTAGAATCTTTAGATCACAAAACAAACTAAGGACATTTAGAATAATCTAGAAAATTTACGAAGAATTACCTTTTAGAGAAGGCAGTTGAAGTTCGATTTCCATCATCGGCTCCATAATATGCCAGTTAGGTATTTTGGCTACCGCATTTTTTACACTACTTATGCAACAAGTTTTTAACAAAGCTAAAAGGGATGGTGAAGAAAGCTGAGCATTGGATAATTTATCTAAAGTCAAGTCACCAAGACCATTGATACATCCCGAGTCATTTGAAATTTGTTCTACACGGCCACATACAATATTACTAATGTGAATATCTACTCCAATAATAGGGGAACGAAGAATAGGTCCACTAACCTCTAAGGCAGACAAACAGGCTTCGGTGATGGCATGACGTACACGAACGATGTTATGATCTACAAGTCGGTCAAAAATGACCTTTATATATACAAAAGAGGATCCGTTTATAAAAATGAAGAAAAACCTTACAATTGAAGAACATTCAAGACTAATAGTAAACATATTCATATCAAAGTTTAGCATAGCATATAATGATGACAAGAGATTAAAGAGATATTAAAGTCTCTTACTGCACAAGCATTTAATTTGCAATGATAGTATTTTACTGTTCTGCCAGAAAACCTGAGATATATGTCGATGTTATATAAATATTGTTACGGAACTAACGATAAATCTCTACCATTCGTTAGCTGGATTTAATACAAATAATTCACTATCCAATTTGCTTTTAGTGAGAACTTTAATCAGAACAGCATAGGTCAAAACAGTCGGTTAGAAAACCTTTATGATTTTGATCTATGACTAATCAGATTACTTAGATGATTCCTAAAGGGTGCAATGTACAAGGAATCATGGATCACATTTGAAACACTTTTATCGTTAAATTGTTATGTAGATTTACAGTTAACTGACCAATATTCTTAATCGATTGAAATAAATAATACGTCCGAATAAAACCCATAATAAGAATGACATGTTAACAGTACGAAACAACCTCTTGATGATAAATAAAACACGGGATAAAAATCATTTGAAAATTAGCTACCGAGATTTACAGCATTGGTATCCACTACTGACTTTTTTTTACGAAAAAAAATACTTTATTTGTTTCAACGCCTTGAGAGTTAGTAGGATAATCTATTTATCCCACACGTTTCCCAATCGATAGTCATAAGGTTACTATACCGATTTATTCAAATATCATTATCAGGCCGAACAAAACATATGCTTATAGAGGTGATAACTGTGATCTTAGTCCTAAAGCTGACGAAGCACCATCACTAGTTTGAAAAGTTTGCTTAGGTCTATAAAAGGTAGAAAATATTGAGATACAAAAAGCTATGTATTATTCTATAACTGATACACGAATGTATGGGTATAGAAACTATGCGCAGATGAAATACAGTCGGCAGAACTTATCTTCGGAACATCGCTAGTTTAAATAGAATCAGAGAGTCAGTAGTGTTGAAGTTAGACGTAGTGTCAGATAAGACTAAAAATGGCTTATTTGGCTATGAACACGTATCAGATGAAGTGGCTAAGTTACAGACAGTGAGAAAGTACAAATAAAAACCATAATACCTTTCTATCAATAGGTGAAAATATAAGGCCACAATAGGTCATTAGTCTTCAGATTAAGTGAATTATGGATTAAAGAACCACGCTAAAACCACTATAGCATTAGTGTAAATGGAGAACATTTATTACTTCTATACAACTGACCATGCAGATTCACAGCTCTTCGAGTTGGAGTTCACATGAGTAAGTTATAGATCTGATGTGCTATAAATGACTAGAAAATTTATTATGATTTGTGCATACATGTTTTTACCTGAGGTTTGTGAAGTGGATGAATAGTTTTAGGTTGAAGTATCACTCCTATTGCAACAGCTTTTTCACTACCATTTATATATCCAACCACAAAACTCCATCCACTTGAACTGGAAGCATCTTGTGGTGGACATTCTTTGTAAGCGACCAAAAGTGGTCCCATTCGAACATTAACTTTGTATTCACGTTTCAGCCTTGAAAGTACAACATCCAAGTGTAAGTCACCCATTCCAGAAATTATCCATTGTCCAGTTTCCTCATCAAACTTCACCTTTTAGAATAGTGTCAGTGAAGCAAAAGTTTATTGAAACAAATGCAAAACAAGATATATTGCGAGGAGACTTGAGTAAGAAATAATTGAAAACATGGACCCATTTAATGATATATGAAAAGAAGATACAATGTAGCTGGCTTAACAGACATTTGCACATTTCAAATTTAAAACACAAGCAAAACAAGTTTAAATCATCAAATGGTAATTATCGTAAGAAATCATATGAGGAACTGTCTTTTATCAGACGATATATATGAAAAAAGTGCTAATTCTTAGTTCACTCAGAGAGCAAGTGAAATATGGGTGTAATTTAATTCATTTGAAACTGCGTTCAGGAGAGCATGTTCGACGGTCTTATCTTCTCATCGTCTGGTGAAACTGTGTCGTCCATTAATTACCAAACATGAATTGAGATTGTGAGAAAGAGATTCAAGGGCAAATTAGAGGATATGACATTTGTATCTCATTCGATTAATGGGATATTTGCTTAGCCATTCCACAGCAAAAACTATGCGTCATTATTACCTATGATTGTACTCGACCATAACTGTTACATTGACGTAGTGGTCGAGCTTGCCTATCGTGATGACCCAACCGAGCTATATTGGCTGGAACATATGTTCCTGTAGGTTCTACCATGCCAGGCAGGTCGACTGGAGAACGGTAAGACTAAAAGTAGCAACTCAAGGTCTGAAAGCGAAGTCGTACTGCTGACTGTAGAGAGGTGTGACAGCAGTAAGGTGTTTCCCTCAGACAACCAGCATCTGCAGCGATGCTGCCTTCTCACAAATAAGGAAGGGGTTAGAAAAGTTCGACTCTAAAAATGTCACACCTCACCTTACCTCATGGATCTCCGTCTCCGGTGGTAAAGCCCTTTGAAGAACGGAGCTGACACATCAAAAGCCTTCCACGGAAAAGCCGTGCGCGACCGGCCTCAAGCAGTTGTCCCTTGGGTTCTGCGGTCACGCTCCCAGGTCTTTACGACCAACACTAATCCAATTTCCTTTTCAGGTTCCTCAAGAAATACCCTTCCACGGTGTGGGCAGCCGGGATGTGACACCAACCCTCATACCCGTAGTAGCACACGAGACCAAGTTGGTCACATTCAAATCCTTCCTACACCTCCTAATACCTCTCTTATCTCCATGACTAACCCTCCTCACGTCTCTTTATCACCTCGCACCACTAGGGCAAACGATTCGAGTACGCGGAACTTTATTCCTGGTCTCCTGAAACCACGCTCTAAACTACACGTAGGAGCTTTTAACGTACGAACACTGTGCCAAATAGGACAGCAGGCTTCCTTAGCTAAGACTTTAGAATCGCGCGCCATCGATGTGTGTTGCGTCTCCGAAACGCGCATACAGGACCCGAGTAGTGTCATTCACTTGACCTCACCATACCAAAATAAAGAACCGACTCGATTCACACTTCGTGTATCTGGAAGCCATGATTCTGCTCCCCATGGCTTCGCCGGCGTAGGTAGGATCCCAGTAGACAGTCGTTTGTACACTGTCCGACTTAACGGAACAATAAGGATCCGAAAAGATAGGGACACTCGTCGTTACCTCTTCGTCGTCTCTGCCTACTCTCCCACTGACTGCAGCTCAGATGATGTAAAAGATGGGTTTTACAGAAAGCTCTCCGACCTTCTCAGAAAAGCTAGGCGCTCTGATGTAGTAATAATGGCTGGTGACTTTAATGTTCAAGTAAGTAAACTAAGCGAGAGAGAGAAAGACACCTGGGTGGATCTTATGGTGTCGCGGCTCAAAGAACAGATAATGGCGACCGTCTACCGCAGCTATTATCAGGTAACCGTCTGTTTCTTGCAAACACTAACTTTAAGCACAAGAAAAAACATCTTTTGACATGGCGACCCCCGAATTTGTCCCAACGTTGGACCCTAATAGATCACGACGCTATCAGCCACTGGTGGAGGGGCTCGATAGAAGACTGTCACTCATTCCGGAGCACATGCTTAGATTTAGATCATTTTCTAGTGCGAGCGCGTATTTGTCTGCGTCTTACTGAACGTAGGAAAGACGCTGCAAGTAAACCTATTAGAGCCCTCAGTCAGTCAGTCAACTACAACGTAGGACCAGGCACATATATGCATCGGTCTAGGTTGCCGTACCGCATTAGCACAGCAAGATGAACACCGGATTCATTCTCGACATTAAGGCGGCATTTGACAGTGTTGATCTCGAGGTTCTGTAGTAGTGTTTGTCATTGAAAGGAGTACCAAAGAAGTACATTAACCTTGTAAAGGCTCTCTATTTGCACACAACTGGTCGAGTGAGAGCTTATGGTGAACTGTCATCAGAATTGATTACATCAAGTGGTGTTCGTCAGGGCTATCCACTCTCTCTATCCATGTTTAGCTTTGTCGTTAATGTGCTTTTAAACATAACACTTTTCACATCTAAATTTCCAGGGGCTGAACTTCTACCGGGAGGTTCACTTGTTGACTTAGAATATGCTGATGACATAGTTTTATTTGGTGAAGACGCTGACAAAATGCAGAGTCTTCTGACCACACTAAGCAACAATGCATGCATGTTCGAGATCCGATTTTCCCCCCTCGAAATGCGAAATGTTGCTTCAGGATTGGGTTACTTCGACACCCGGATTAATAATACGGGGTGAAGTAGTTGAGCGTGTCGACCGCTTCACTCATATTGGAAATCTCATCAGCCCTTGTGGTCTGGTGTGTGACGAAATCTCATCACGGATACAGAAGGCTCGATTAGCTTTTGCCAACTTACGTCATTTATGGCGTAGGCGAGATATCCGTCCATCAACCAAAGGACGTGTTTACTGCGCAGCAGTTCGTTCCTTCCTACTTTATGGCAGTGAAACATGGCCGGTAAGAGTAGAAGATATTCGTAGGTTACTAGTATTCGATCATAGATTTCATCGAAACATTGGTCGTATATCCTGAGACCACCGAGTAAGTAACTCAGTTGTTAGGAAACGGGTACTAGGTAAGGATGTCAAATCAATTGATGAAGTAGTAAAACTTCACCAGTTGAGATGGCTGGGACACGTGTTACGTATGCCCAACCACCGACTGCCTCGACGTGCGATGTTTTCTGGTGTAGGAGTAAGTCCCGATCGAAGCTGCTACCTTGACGCGGTGGTCGGGCTTGCCTATCGTGATGACCCAACCGAGCTATATTGGCTGGAACATATGTTCCTGCAGGTTCTACCATGCCAGGCAGGTCGATTGGCGAACGGTAAGACTGAAAGCAGAAACTCAAGGTCTGAGGGCGAAGTCGTACTGCTGACTGTAGAGAGGTGTGACAGCAGTAAGGTGTTTCCCTCGGACAACCAGCATGACAGCGATGCTGCCTTCCCACAAGGAGGGGTGGGGTTAGAAAAGGTCGACCCTAAAAGTGCACACCTCACCTTACCTCACGGATTTCCGTCTCCGGCGGTAAGGCCCTTGAAGAACGGAGCTAACACGTCAAAAACCTTCCACAAAAAGGCCGTGCGCGACCGGCCTCAAGCAGTTGTCCCTTGGGTTCTGCGGTCACGCTCTCAGGTCGTCAAGACCAACACTAATCCAATTTCCTTTTCAGGTTCCTCAAGAAATACCCTTCCACGGTGTGGGCAGCCGGGGAGTGACATCAGCCCTCATACCCGTAACAGCACAAGAGACCAAGGTGGTCACATTCAAATCCTTCCTACACCTCCTAATACCTCTCTTATCCTCCCGACTAACCCTCCTCACGTCTCTTTATCACCTCGCACCGCTAGGGCAAACGATTCGAGTACGTGGAACGCCATTCCTGGTCTCCTGAAACCACGCTCTAAACTACACGTTGGAGCTTTTAACGTACGAACACTTTGTCGAATAGGACAGCAGGCTTCCTTAGCTAAGACTTTAGAATCTCGCGCCATCGATGTGTGCTGCGTCTCCGAAACGCGCATACAGGATCCAAGTAGTGTCATTCATTTGACCTCACCATGCCAAAATAAAGAACCGACTCGATTTACGCTTCGTGTATCTGGAAGCCCTGATTCTGCTTCCCGTGGCCTCGCCTGCGTAGGTATAGCATTGAGTCCTAGGGCAGAACTAGCTCTCTTAGAGTGGATCCCAGTAAACAGTCGTTTGTGCGCTGTCCGACTGAACGGAACAGTAAGAATCCGGAAAGATAGGGACACTCGTCGTTGCCTCTTCGTCGTCTCTGCCTATTCTCCCACTGACTGCAGCTCAGATGATGTAAAAGATGAGTTTTACAGAAAGCTTTCGGACCTTCTCCGAAAAGCAAAGCGCTCGGATGTAGTAATAGTGGCCGGTGACTTTAATGCTCAAGTAGGTAAACTAAGCGATAAGGAAAGACACCTAGGTGGATCTATGGTGTCGTGGCTCAAAGAACAGATAATGGCGACCGTCTGTTGCAGCTATGCTCAGATAACTGCCTGTTCCTTGCAAATACTAACTTTAAGCATAAGGAAAAACATCTTTTAACATGGCGACCCCCTAATTCGTCCCAACGTTGGACCCAAATAGATCACATCGCTATCAGCCACCGATGGAGGGGCTCGATAGAAGACTGTCGCTCATTCTGGAGCACATGCCTAGATTCAGATCATGCTCTAGTGCGAGCGCGTATTTGCTTGCGTCTTACTGGACGTAGGAAAGATCCTGCAAGGAAACCTCTTAGGGCCTACTTAATGATAGTCAAGCTAAGAATATATTTCAGGAACAACTAGGAAAACAGTTAGGTAGCCATGTATGTGATGCCCACCCCGAGGCAGCATGGAACGATATCCGAAAAGCTGTGGAAACAGCAGTGATATCTGCTAGTAAGGTAAACCGTAAAGTTAGGGAGCAACACTGGATCTCAACAGCATCTTTCGCACTGATAGATGCTCGAAAACTCATTCCACCTGGCTCTGAACATAATGAAGAGCGAAGTCAGCTTAAGCGCAAGCTGACAAGAAGTCTACGCAATGATCGCGAACAGTGGTGGGTAGCGAAAGCATGAGAG